ACCCAGCCCATGGGGCTCCCTACAAGTCTAGAAATTTGGTGGTGGGAAAGGGCTGCAGTGTTAATTGCGACTCCCCTGCTACCAAATTTCTAGACCTCTGAGGAGCCCCGAGGGCCAGGTAACATAGTCCTGTACTTAAGATCAGGCTGACGCACGGCCAGATCTGGGTGTGTAGTGATACGCTGGGACATGGCTGGATTCAGTGTCCAGGACTGGGCTGGTGTGCAGCTGGATCTGGAGCACGGGGTTTATACCCATGGCCCAACCCCACCTGCTGACTCTGCAGGGGATGCATGCTGCAGACTGACCCCATGCCTCTCATCTAGCCCCTGGGGCAAGAAGGCTGGGCACCACTGCTCCAGATGTTAAGATTGGCAGCTGATCAAGTCTAGGCTTACTGTATTTCCAGTTCCAGAAAAAGAGGACACCTGTTGCATGTGTGGGGGAGGGTAGTATACAATTGTGAGGGGCAGTGATGACAATGCCCTGGCCCTGCCCATTCCATTGCCCCTCACTCCCAAGCCACAGCCCTCCCAGCCCTGCTGCTGCCCCTCACTCCTAACATACAATGCTCTGCCCCACACTCCGGACCCACAGTTGGCTCCCTGCCCCTCACCTCCAAGCCACAGCCCCCTGCTCCCTCTGTTTCCCCGCTGCCCACCCCTGCAATCTTTTTGCCCCACAGTGGGCTGCTGCCTACAACCCAGCTGCCTCCATAAGTTGCAGTCCCATACCCCATGGTGATCAGATGCTGCTGCAAGAGAAATAGGTAGAAAGATGCAGATGTTAGGACCCTGGGGGTGCCTTCTCTGCTGTGGAAAAGAAACTAAACTGAACTTGGTAGGTGCTAGGACCCTGCAAACATCTCTTCTGCCTTCCCTACCCTGCTGCTGCTCAGGGGCCCAGGCACCTCCCTCTCCCCCCCGCCACCCCCACTCCCTCTAGACAGCTGAGCTGCCAAAATCCGGGACATTTGATCAAATTTAAAAAACCCACCCTGAAGAGAGATCAGAGGATACAAAAAGAGGACATGTCAGGGAAAACCCTGAGGTATGACAACCCTAATCAAACTGATTTCCTCAAATCCATAGACTTTACTAACTTAGATTGAGGTGAGGAAAAAGTACATTGTTGGTCAGAGTATAATACTCAGAAGAAAGCTAAGTAACAGTGGCAGTGATTCTTTGGTCAGTCATGTTCCTTTAATATTCACCTCCCAATTCCTTCAGTATGCATACACACATTCACAAAAGAGAAAGTTGGAGATTTAACTGAATTTGTTACTGACCTCTGGTCTTTTCACAAGTGATTATAACCTCTTTCATACAATTTCACATCAATTATTTGAAAGTGTGCAACATGTTTCTACTGAGTTAATTATTTAGAAGATATCAGTCGATCCACTATCCTAACACACTGATTGTCAACTTTGATTAGAAGTTGTGTATAAGTTTTAACCTCAGGTTGTGTAGTTTGTCAAAAAACATTTCAAAGATTGGTTCTGAAATTGTGGGTAAAATGACCAAAATAGCTCAGAATATCCTAGCAAGTGATTAGTTCTCACATGCTGTTAATAATAAAATGTTTGTGCTTTTTAAAAAAAATTGATATGACATATTGCCTCTGAAACCTGTAGCTTAAATTGACTTGACCAATAGCAGTTACATTGTCTATAACAGAGCCAGGGAAAGAACCCATCTCATCTAGGACCCAGGACACAATATTAATCACAAGACCATTCTCTAGAACAAATGATACCTAATCATAACTTTAAAGACTATGAGTCACACGTGTGTGTGATGGTGCTTCATGAAAGTAGATGTAGAAGAGAAACCCCATTTAACTCGCAGCATATATAATTACAGTTTTGGGTTAATCTTTCAAAGACTTATACCACAGTCTCTCAGAGATTTGATTCTGCTAGAGGACAGACATCAGTTTTATTCTAAGCTCAGCCAGAGGTAACCTTTTAAATCAATACTCCACTTTGCAGTTAAGAGGTGAAGGCACATGAAGGTGAATTGTAAACAAGTCCTTGCTTAATGAGAAGTCTGTGAACCACACAGTTATCACAGTGGAAGAGGACATAGTCTCTCAGGCTTCTTGTTCAGTACGTTTTCCTAAACCAAATAGTGTTTTGGAGTGCAAAAGTAGTTACTGATATGTCTCATCCTTTCTTCTTCCTGTATGATACCTGCCCACATTGTCACGGCTGAAAAACCATTTCATTTGGGCACTTTTATCTTCCATTAACTAGAATGGCAGTTTTCCAAGAGACGGGATATACAGTAACATTCTCCCAAATGGGGTTTGAAGTTCAGAAGAAGGAAACTTACACCTACATTAATTTGGACATTGAAGGATGCTAAACTTTTTAATATAAAAAGGGAACAATTAACCAACAGGGACTGCATATGACTTCTGAAAAGTACATTTTTTGTATTGAAATCTTTTTCTAGGAGCACTTGGTGATGACCATAATACCCTCAAAAAATTGTAAGGTAGGCCCTCAAAGAGTACTTTTAACTTTTCCTTCTTAAATGACTTTATTGTTTTTGTGCCACATTGGTTTGAAGGTCCTGGGCAAGGCAAAATCTTTTCCTTACCCTAATAAGGGGAAGCCTCTGCCAGTGCCTTCAAAAATAACACATACCAACTGAGAAACAAGCTTTTACTGAGTAGTTTACATCGAGACCAAATTCTTGAAAAGAGATGCAATAACCTAAATTTTTCAATTTCATCCTTGGAAATTATGTTCAATTGAGTGAATTCAACATGTTTAATACATTTCTTACCCTGGGCTTCCATTTTCATAGCTTGAGTATCAAGATCTTCATCTAAAAAATAATCTGGTATCACTGGGTGACCTGAAATTCCAAAATGAATTCAAAATGAGTTAGCAAGGGTGAAGGGCAAAAAAATCAGATCTTTATCGTAGTTAAATAGAATCTAGGAAAACTGTAACTTTAGGGACGCAGAAGTCAGTAAAGCAAAGTAAAGCCATATATCTGGTATATTCTTTTCAGAAAGATTTGGTTAGTCTTGCACCACTTTAGAAAGGACAAAAACCAGAACTCAAGTATTATAAAGTTGAGAGGGAAACTCCCACATTAAAAATATGAAAAATGGCATAAAACAAGTCATCACAGGCTGATAAAAATGACACTGCTTAAGTGATACGAAAAACATTTTTCTTTGGTTAACTTATGTTTAACTTGGCAGAAGTTTTATGGGTAGAGGTCTGGCAGGATTGGAGCCACTGTTTCCAAGAAGGCAAATTCAAGGGAAGACAACCAGGCAATGGGCCCAACAACCTTAACATCCCTGGTCATAGCAGAAGACTAGGCTATAATCATCATTATAGATTAACTACCTATATCCCAGACCTCCCATATTGAGTTTATTTCTTTTCGTAAAATCTGTTTACCTGGTGCAACTGCATATACATCAAAATTCTTGATTCCTTCTTTTTTTAATAGAGTCTCATCAATAACAAAGTTTCCCGTGAAACTTTTTGGTTTTGTTAAAATACAATATGCAGCATCTGCAACGATATCAGTTTTTCTGCACTGCTTCTCCACTCCAGGTCCTCCCAGCATATCCATTGCAGCCGTATGTATGGCTAGAATGTTTAAGGGGGGAAAAATACAAAGGTCAAT